CCCAAAGTTAGCTCACACTATATAGAAGTAATTCTCATTCCTCCGTTTTTAATCTATGAGCGCCATCTCCCATGTATATCATCAACTGACTTCGTCGATAGGGAAGACTAAGTTGACAATATCACTACGTTTCACCCTCTTGTATTTACGTGTGTGTTCAGTTGCCGAAGTTACCAGATCTGTGGTCAGTTGCGGATGTGTTCAGTTGACTGTGTCCAGTTGCACCCATCCCACATTTTAGACTCCCTTGTATATTACGTCACAAATTCCATGACTCCCCCCCCCTGCCGCTGTTATTGTGATTTAAAAATTTATAAAAGTGTTTTACCACTTCGCTACTAAATTGAATCTTTATGCGATGCCCTTCAAACACTTCGTAACTCATTAAATTTTTGACATCACAGCATTCTGATATTCCTCTCCATCAATCTGTGAGATAATTTTAGAAACTGGTGAAATCCCAGTTTCTTTCGTGAGAAAAAGCGAACGCGAACCCAAATTTCATTTGCGATTTTCTGGAGTGAAAATGGAAAGAATATAGTGTGATAGCACAAATTGAGCAACTGCCTCCCTCCATTCATCACGAAATGTCACAAACTACAGATCCCCCTCGCGGCCGCCAGTCGTGTAACCTCATATTTGAATGGCCTCTCTTGAAGTCTTATTTCCTCTGACAATTTTCATGAAAATATTTCAAACAGAAGCTTTACCTGATCCGGAACAACTGGGGTCGACCAAAATATACTCCACATCTCCACAAGTTTCAGGAGTTAGTATCAATGCATCGAGATTAAGTGTTTGGACGCAATCCGCATTAGCATTGTTGACCATCTCGCATAGGACTTGATAGCGACGCTCGTTTCTTTCAACTGATAAGACCTTTCTGAAAGAAATTAATACGGTGATTATTCATGGTCAACTCGGAACAACAAAGAACAATTTCGAGATCCGTAAATTGGAAAAATGGGGGTTATGGGTAAAAAAGTCAATTATTTTTCCTGCAATGTAAATTGAAGAACTAGAGGCCTTTACTTTGACAGTGTGAAATCCGACGTCTGACACGTCGGATTAAATATTATTTTAATATGTGCAACTCAAAGAATGTTGTAAAATTGAGCATCATCAGCAAGGTAAGTGTTCTGACGGGTGTTACAGGAGTCCGACTTTCAAAAGAGAAGACGTTTGACTATTTTGGAACATTGTCAATGATAATACCAACACAGTTTTAGTCGTACAAAACCATGAGAATGCTGATCTAAGCATTCTAGGGACTGAAGCGTCTCTGAGGCCCTTCGGTAAGACAGAGTACGGTGGGAAGCCAAAGCGATGGAACGGCAGTCTTAACCTAAAATGTAGATCCGCGCATACCGAAGTAGATATATAGCACCGGTTCTGGGTCAACGATTTGGGAAGGGTCACGTGGCTAATTAATTGACCAATTAATTAATTAATACGAGGGGTTAATTCGCGGGTTCTGGGCCAAAGATTTGGGAAGCGTCACGAAGGTCAGTTGGCGAGGTGTCCGAGAGTCTCCCGTGAGTGGGTGGTGGGTGGCTAATTAATTGATCAATTAATTAATTGATTCGCGGAATTAATTCGCAGGGTTAATTCGCAGGTTCTGTGTCAACGATTTGGGAAGGGTCACGAGGGCCTCCCGTGAGTGGGTGGTGGGTGGCTAATTAATTGATCAGTTGATTAATTAATTCGCGGAATTAATTCGCCAGGTGAATTTTGCGGGTTCTGGGCCGGCGATTTGGGAAGGGTCACGAGGGTCAGTTGGCGGGGTCTCCCGTGAGTGGGTGATGGGTGACTAATTGATTGGTCAGTTAACTAATTAATTAATTAGTCGATTAGCGTATTTAATTCGCGGGATTAGTTCGCGGGGTAACTTGCGGATTTTCCACCTCGACCGCTTTGGGGAGGGTCATAAGGGTCTGTGGACCAGGTGTCTGCGGAGCTGCTATAAGTGAGTAATTGCTTAATTAATTAATTAATTGACCAATTGATTAATCAATTAATCACGGATTCTGCAGCTCGAGCAGTTTTGAGATGGGGCATGAGGATCATAAGGGTCCTGAGGATCATAAGGGTTCACAAGCATCATAAGGGTGAGGGGTATTTTCAAAGGAAAAAAAAGAAAAAAACAATTGACTGTTAAAAATATTTTGTATTTATATAAAAAAAAGATACATAATATTTTTACAATCATTTTTCACACTGTTCACTAGAAATATTTATTATAAATATTTTTATAAACCTATGTTTTTTTCATACTTGGTCGGCATGATCTTGTTATGCCGGCAAGTATCACACCCACATACACACCTTATCGCGCCTCATGCCTAACATTGGGGGCCCAAAACAAAGAAGAAGAGCCCTACTGTCGTCGGTGGTCACGTCAGTGCTCACCTACGGCATTTCCATATGGACTGATACATTGAAACTGCAGGAATCACGGCGGAAAGTGGCGCTAGTCTATCGACTGAGTGCTTTGCGAGTCACGAGCGCCTATCGTGCGGTATCCGAAGACGCAGTGTGCGTCATAGCCGGGATGCGCCCCATAGAATAATTGGTCGAAGAACGAAGGTCATTGTATCAGCGGAAGAATTCTGAGACACTGAGCGCAGCAGAAGAGAGGCGAAAAAGTCTGCAGCAATGGCAGGAGAAGTGGAACAGTTCGTCGAAGGGAAGATGGACTCACCGGTTGATCCCACAGGTGAGTGCTTGGTTGAACGGTACACATGGTGAGTAGGATGGCTCATAATAGATAAGAATTAAAAATTCAACTTTTTTAGAGTTGAAACAAATGGTCCAGGGAACTGTGAGGCTGTGTGATTTTTTACGATTTTTTAATTCAATTTTGCAGTAGCGCATGGCATTTCAAGTTTGACTAAAATATCTGACCTACTGCCAGTCAATGGTTATATAACTTGGGTAAAAGTTAAATATCCTTGATTACGGTCCGGTGCTAGGTTGTAAAAATGATAGAGGATGGTTCTTCGGATCTGTTCAGGTAGAGAATGCAGCGACTAGTATAGGCCCGTCACTATTGCACCCATAGCGAGGAGGTCGGAAATACATGCGTTTTCTGGGGAGCAATAGAAACCCAACTATACGACTGCCCTGTGCGAGACAGAGACGCTCGCAGTTGTCCCTGTCACACAGAACGATGTGCTCCATGAATATTAATAATAATAACACGATATCTATGAGTCGTGGAAACATGAATCGGAAACATTATTCTTCATCAGAACATTTAATGCTGCATGTCTCGTCAACTTTTCAGTAGTTCTCAATATATTTTGGCCGGTATAAAAATGGTTATTTATTGTTCATTTGTTTCCCGAAGCCTAAAAATGTAAAATCGGTCCAAGGTACCTACTTTTTAAGCTATGGATTTTTTTTCAATGTATAGAATAACAATTACATTCCACTTTTTGCTAATTCGATTCGAAGATGTCTTAATTTATTTTTTCTTTAATGAAAAATTACACTAGTCTCATGAAAAACTATGAAAAATCATTCCTCAAAGAATTTTCAGAACTTTTTTAGTTTTTTAATTTTTATAAAAAAGTTTTATTCTGTCAAAAATTCATTAATTATTGCATTTCAAAATAAATTAGGCTTTATTGGAGTCGAATTTGCAAAAAGCTGATTTTAATTGTTTTTCGACAAATTTGTTAAAAAAATTTGATGAAAAAAAAATCCATAGCTCAAAAATTGGGTACACTGGACCGATTTTTCGATTTCAAACGTCTGGGGGACAAATCAAGTGATTTCTTGGATTAACAAATTTTTTGCACTAATTTTTCGTTTCTACGAATGAACTTTCTCCTCTATGGAAATGGTCATTTGAATATCCTGGGACTCTTGAAGCTCACAGGGTCTCCCCTTAATGGTAGGGCAACGTAAAGTCTAAAATATATCCTCAGAGTGGAAGACTTTCAAATTTCTGTTGGCGTATTTACTTCTAAAATGAATCTCCGTATTTTGGCATTTACATGTCACTCTGATTCCTGTGACTCAGGGGTCGCCAATAAACTGGACTTCCAATGACGCCCACTAGCTCAAACTCAGGAATTGTCTTCATAAAGGAGCTCACAAATGACTTAGCTTCCAAGAACCTTAATGAATGGGGCTGAATTGACGATTTGTGGAAACAAAACCCTTGAACCCTCCTCCCTAATTTGCTTATGACTATCTTGTCCAATATTCATCTGGCAATTGAATATTTTCTGACCATTTCCTGAACTGTTCTAATGGTCACTCAGTGAACGACTTCCAAAGAGCTAGCATCGCAAGAATCTTTGTCCTTCCGCTTGTGTTACAATATTAACGAACGAACTTTCAGTGCCTGTGGTCGTGTGTCAATAATATCCGCCAATTATTTAGAGAAAAAAAAGTGCAAAAATGCCAATGACACGACTAGATTCCGAAATCTCATTCATTGGTCACGCAAAATCAGACATTCAGGGTAATCAGTTACCATCAAAACGCCATGTTTTGGAGTGTTTTTTTCAATATACGCGACATGCCACTCCGATATTGAGTCCTCGCGAAGCAGCCAGATGCGTTATTCGCAAGTGTGTCATATTTTGGCACTATGAGGAAATCCCAACCATCACGGAGGGAAATGCGATTACTAAATTTGAGAAGTTACTGAATGATTATAAAAAAATTCGCAAGAACGGTCCGGGGCGTCTGGAGAAATACGAAAACGCTCAAAGTGCAGCGATTGGTTTCATGTACGAGTTAGATGAGTTGTTCGATATCGCACATCAGAAACAAGTGAATGTGATGAAAAATGAAACCGTAAGAACTTTGTTGGATCTCCACCGTGGGAAGAGAAGACAGGGTTACTTGGACCAAATCATCGACACAGCTAACTGGATCCCTCCCTGTGAAGAAGAAAATGAAATGTATAGCCCAAAGAACTTCAAAAAGGTAAATAATTTATTTCCCTTTTTTTTTCATTTTCACAGTGATGAGTAGTTCTGATTGCGGGGAGACTACTATAAATTTCAGAAATCCCAGGACATTCAAGTGACATTTTTCAGAAGTTGAATCCTTGTTTCAAAATGATAAAAAAATATGTAGAATAACAATTACAATCCACTTTTTGCAAATTCAACTCCAAAATAGTTTAACTGATTTNTAACGAACGAACTTTCAGTGCCTGTGGTCGTGTGTCAATAATATCCGCCAATTATTTAGAGAAAAAAAAGTGCAAAAATGCCAATGACACGACTAGATTCCGAAATCTCATTCATTGGTCACGCAAAATCAGACATTCAGGGTAATCAGTTACCATCAAAACGCCATGTTTTGGAGTGTTTTTTTCAATATACGCGACATGCCACTCCGATATTGAGTCCTCGCGAAGCAGCCAGATGCGTTATTCGCAAGTGTGTCATATTTTGGCACTATGAGGAAATCCCAACCATCACGGAGGGAAATGCGATTACTAAATTTGAGAAGTTACTGAATGATTATAAAAAAATTCGCAAGAACGGTCCGGGGCGTCTGGAGAAATACGAAAACGCTCAAAGTGCAGCGATTGGTTTCATGTACGAGTTAGATGAGTTGTTCGATATCGCACATCAGAAACAAGTGAATGTGATGAAAAATGAAACCGTAAGAACTTTGTTGGATCTCCACCGTGGGAAGAGAAGACAGGGTTACTTGGACCAAATCATCGACACAGCTAACTGGATCCCTCCCTGTGAAGAAGAAAATGAAATGTATAGCCCAAAGAACTTCAAAAAGGTAAATAATTTATTTCCCTTTTTTTTTCATTTTCACAGTGATGAGTAGTTCTGATTGCGGGGAGACTACTATAAATTTCAGAAATCCCAGGACATTCAAGTGACATTTTTCAGAAGT